GGAAGCCGTTTTGGAGGCGTCTCTGGGCCGACTTGTGGGCCATCTTGGGGGCTTCGATCCCACGTCGACCGTATTGGGGCCATCTTGGGGCCGTCTGTGGGGCCTCCTGGGCCGCGAGAAGGGTCAGAAGCCTCTTGGGCGTTTTGGGGGCCATCTCGGTGGCCTCTGGGGCCGCTGTGGGCCGTCGGAAAGCCGAAAATGAGCAAACGCTACAAGCTATCATAATCGGAAGGGACATCAGTGATGTTGGCCTCTACGGGCCTTCCTGGAGGTCGAGTCGGAGGCCTTCCGGGCCGTTTTGGAGGCCTCATAGGCTGTCTTATGCTGTCTTCGGCCAGCTTCGGGACCATTTTCAGCCGTCTCGAGTGCATGTTGGGCCGTCTTGGAGACATCTTGCAGCCTTTTTGAGTTCCTTCACGGCCATGTTGGCCATTTCGGAAGCCATCTTGACCGTCTACGAGGCCATACCGGGGCCATCTTAGGGGGGGAGGCCAACGGCACACGCCATTGATACGGTGTTCCCGATGCCGGCGGGATCTTCTGAGCTACTACGAACCAAACGCTACTGAACATCCAGCACTTCGTGCACCTCTATGGCAAGACCACAAGGAGTGGCGGATATGTTACGGCTTTCGGCCCATCCCGCCACCAGGTTGTAGGTCAGAGGGCTTTGGGCTGCATTTGGGCATTTTGTGGAAGCCTCCCGAAGCCTCTCGGATTCGGTTTTGGGCCGTTTTGAGGGCCCCTCGGGTGTCTCGTGGGGCTCATGGAACATAATTTGGATCTCTTGGGGGCCTCCTGGAGCTCGTGGTGAGCCGCTTGGGGGACTGCTGGCGGTTTCGGGGGCCATCTTGGGGAGAAGGGCTTGACATGTAGGCTCGGGCTGCCCTTCTGAGGCCTCTCTTGGGCTCCCGGTGGAGCTCTATTGGGTCGTCTTGAGGACCGCTTGGGCCGTCTTGGGGCCATCTGTCTTGGGGTGGTCTTCGGGGTCTCTTGGGCCGTCTTCGGGCGCTCTTGCGGGCCTGTGTCGCCGATTTGGGGCGTCGAAAGCCAGAAAGGCAAGACCACTAACATCCTTCACAAACCGGCGGATAATCATTGGTTTTGACATCTCGGGGCCCTTCGAGCCCTTTTGAGGCGTCTTGGTGACCTCTTGGGCCGTCTTGGTGCCACTGTTGGCGTCTTGGGGCGCTGTCGGGCGGTGTTGGATGCCTCTTGGGCCTCTTGGGCACTTCTTGGGCCCTGTTGGCCCGTCCGTTGGGTCCCCTGGCCTCTAGGCAAGTTATGGGAGTAAGCCCGAGAAAGCGCGGGACCACCAGGAACGTACGAGATTCGGAGTTCTTTGCCCCTCGGTAAAGTATTCCAATAAAGGATACAGAGCACAGAGAATTCTGTAAGCACTGGGAGCACTCCACTCCGTGCCTCGGGGCACTGGAGCGGACACATAACACATATCTACACATACATGTAGATGTATATGTTTTGAGATGCTTCCGCATAAACATACATACACATCTATGCGTATGGTTATAAAAAATATGTAGGTATTTATATATACAACAACGCATACACGTACACGTATGTGTACATATACATGTCCATCCACATATACATAGATGGAGTCATGCCATTGCTCACCATACGCTCACGCTACCGAGGTATTATTTGATCCCTGTACCTGGCGACCCCAGTATGGCCCGCTTCATCGGTATCACTATCGGTCTGTCGATGTGATTCGTTTCGGCCGTATTATCCCTCTATCGAGCTAGCTTTGCATTCCTTTTGTGTACATACATCTGTGGATCTCACTATCTACCGATCAGACTATCTACTGGTCCGCGGCACCACCACGGGATAACCACGGGACACCATAGAACCACCACAGAAGGACCATTGGACAAGCACGGGACAATTGCGGGACAAGCCGGAACTCGCCGAAAGCCAGTGGGAAGCAACAGATGACGACATTATTCCTTATCAAGGCCAGACTATACTTCTCTGTCTTTCTCGCCTTCGCGCAGCATCGCCTCGCTCGCACTCACGTCACACATTACACGAGCCGGAATCGAAATTGATTACTTGGTTAGGGGACCCCGTCCCACTTCGATCTCACCACCCAGACTCCGATATGACCGTTTGGGATCCGATCGTATTCGGACAAATTCTTACAATAATTGTTCCCGTTGCAATGTCGACCGCGTTACAGGATCGACGCTCTGCTGACGATGTTCAGATTTGCGCTCTCGCCCCAGCGCGGGCCGCACTATTGGATGCAATTCGCATATCGTAGGTGACGCCCCTTCTCTGCCTTCCCCTGGTCCTCCTGCTCCTCCTGTTCCTGCTCATGCTGCTGCTACTGCTGCTCCTCCTCCTCCTTTCATCACCGTGCTCCTCCTCCTCCTCCTGCTGATGCCCCTATTCATCCAGCACCTTCTCCTTCTCCATCTCTCGTCCGTCGAGAAATCCTCCACTTTTCGCACCACTAGACGTGTCCATGGGCCTGGTCGGGCGTCTCCTCTGAGACTTGTCTACCGTGTGTTTTCCAGGAGTTTACAGCTTCTACGTGGTACACGGGAGGGGGGCGAGCAGCTTCCAATCTGTAGTTATCGCCCAAGAGGCCGCGCATATGGATTCAACATTTCCCAACAGGTACACGGATTGAAGGCGGATGGTTTCCAACGTGTGGGATGTTCTCGTTTGTTGCGGTCCCCAGGTTTGCCAGCCTGTATTCTGGGGATTTAGGGGACACGTGGGCTTAGCGTGCCTTGGAAACGCCTTGGGCGTTGTTTTCTACAGTTTCCAACTTTCAGTCAAAAGCACGTTTTTTCAATAGTTTCTGGCTCTCGTTTCTTTGTCGGTTCCAGGTCTCCGCGGCGATGCGTTTCTTGATCGTTTCCAACGTCAATCCAAGGGACCGTTTTTGTAGTTTCCAGCTGTCGTTTCCAGCTTCGTTTTTTCATCGTTCCCAGGTCTGCCTCGCAACGTGCTGTGTTGTATCTATCCGGTAATAACATGCAGCGCACGATAAGAGTTCGACACGCTCTCTCCAAAAGGCTTCTCTGAGCTCTTATCGTGCGTTGCCCTGTCGATCGCTGTCCGATCCCGCGCGCGTAAGAGCTGGAGACATCGTCGGTGTCATAACGGCAGCGTCGGCGTCGTAACGGCAGCCTCAGCGGCGGCGGCGACATCTTCAGTGTTTTCGCTGCCCCTGGGCCAAGGGTCGAAGTTGCTTGGTTGAGACCGTTTACACCACGTTTCCAACACGTGTTCAACGCTGTCTGGTAGGTCGGACAGTGACCGACAGGTGACGCACGATACGAGCGCGACACTCTCTCCGAACAGCTTCTCTGCTGCACCTCCTGCCCGCCGTAGCCGCCACCTTCCTCCCAGGGGGTCGTTTCCTCACCGTTTCCAGCTTGCGCCGACTCGGTTTGAAATAGTTTCCGCGTGATCGCGCGCAAACGTTGCTTGAAAGTTTCCCGGGCCAGTTTTTGTTATCGTTTCCAGGTGCCCGCTGTTGGTTCACAAGGCACAAAAGCTGGAAACGATAAAGAAACGCCCAGGGCGTTTCCAAAACAGACTCAGCACACGGGCAGCGTATTCTGCAAGGGACGTAGGCCCGTGCGGACTGGAGCCGTGGGACGTCTCAGCTAGAACGCTAGCTTTCTGCAGGCACGCGTCTCTCCTCTACGAAATCGTTGGGGGTCTCAGCCAGAACGGTAGTTTTTAGAGGTGGACGTGCCTCCTGCAAGACCGTCACGGTCATCTAATTGATCGAGTTTGCGCGATTCACGGACTGAGTTAGGATGCTCACGGCGATTTCGGAGCGATCTGTTCCCGCTCTCGTGCGCTCTTCTTCTCCTCCTCCTCCCCTCCTCCTCCTCGCCGCCCCTGCACTCCACCTGCAATGCCTCCATCTTTTGTTTCTCCGACCCCTCCTGCCCCTCCCCTGCCTCCCCCGCCTCCTCTGTCGTGTCCTCCATTGAGTTTCATTACAAGCGATTCCCCCCTTTCGCACCACCAGGCGTGTCCGCAGACTGGGACAGGCGTTCCGCTTGGGACCTCGCTACAGCTACCCATCACGAAGCTGAAAACTTCAATAGCCACACGGGCGGCTATTTTTCCAAATGCGATTCTCGCTCAAGCACTGTGCACATTCGATTTCAAAGGTTCCAGCACATGTTCTCACACATGTAAGGGCACAGGCCAGTACATTCTTAAAATGCGAATATCGGTTGGGTATTCGTCGAGTTCGATGGCCCGAAGTCTCAGACTGTGTAGCAGCTACACGGGTGGAGGGCGTTTCTCTTTCAAGAGGGAGGTCTCGCGCGTGACTGACGCTAGTCTTAGAAGCCGAGTTTTTGACATGATGCCACGCTCGCATGGATGGAGGGCAGGCCCGTCTCTCAACGGGACTATCGTTGCACGCCGCCCTGCATGTGATCGTCCTGCGTCTTCGCCCTCCCTCTGGCCAGAAGGATGGAGGTGGATCCCTCACACAACGGGTCGAACATGAGTGGCACGCCCACCGGGCGCTGGGCGCTCGTCACTGAAGGGGGCGCCTCCCGCAGCGTGGACCGACGAGGACGGGATGGAGGACGGGAGGTCGGGTTTTCCTCCTCCTTCTGCTCCTCCTCCTCCTCCTCCTCCTGCTCCTCCTCCTCCTCCTCATTCGCCTCCTCCTCACCTGGGAAGGGAGGCTTGAGGCCCTTCCACTGCGAACTCAAGAGGATGACAGGTTTCGCCATGCAGTGCAGGGACCCCCCGGTGCGCTCGGTGCGGAGGTGCCAGGCCTTGCGCTCCTGGATGAGATGAACGGCCATTGGCAAAGCAGTGAACCCAGGCTTCGCGGTGCCCACAATTACTCAATTCACCACCGTTGCTCTGGACATCGATGTAGATTGCAGCAGCAGCAGCAGCAGCAGCAGCCCGTCCTCCTCATCCTCCTCTACTTTTCATCTTCCCGTCCACTATCGCTCCCTCCTGCCCCAGTCCCGCAGGCATCAGGGGCTACCAGGTGCCCTGCGGGGCGGCCTTCTACAGGACCGCCCCCAGCGCCCGAAAGGGGGGTGGGGGGGGGCAGCCCGCAGGCTGCGGCGATCGGCCCGAGCAGGTGGAAGGACTTCCCACCCACTCCCCACCCAGGTGCGTCCAAGATCGGGGACGGCCACGAGGGGTGGTGAAGATTACAGTCCATTCAAAGTGCATAGCAAGGATGAGTAACTGTCCAAGGTTGCCCTTTCATTCTTGCCCCGCAAGCCCATACTTGGCAACTTTTGCTGTCCAGCCCCGTTCGAAAAAGTGTCGGTATGGCCGCCCAAGGCCCTCGCATCCTCATCGTGCATCCTACAATTGCTTTGCCTGTGGTTGGTCCCTCTATGGGCCTGAGCGTCGCGAGGGAGTGTGGTTACAGGCTCTGCAGTCCTTCTGGCTTACGAATGGACTAGCCGCTCCTCGATCATTCGGGAGCGGCCGCGTCGGGCGCAGTGCTCGGACAGTTCATCCGCGAGCGCCCTCCGCACTGCCGCTGCGACTGTGCCTGCCGAAGCGATCCGAGCCTCGGAGCAGTTTTGGCCAGGCAGCCGGAGCACTGAGGCCCCGCTCCTTGTCGAGCGGCGGCGCGACACGTGCTGGGGGACCTGTTTCCTCGACGTTGCGAGCGGGGCGGCCCTCCTCGTCGGGTGGCCAGGATCGAGAACGGGCCCCTTGTGGCATCCCAGTCAAGGCTGGACGGAACCCCATCCAGTCATCTGCCTGCTGTCGTCCTCTTCGGGGAGTGCTGCGGTGGCCGCAACAGGGCCTGGGAACGCGAAGAACTCGGGCAAGTGGGTGTTGATCAGCGGTGACGACGGCCACCAGATGCGATGATTACAGTGAACGGTTCACTGTTGGCCCACGGCAGTGCGGCCTGGGTGCCTAATGGCATACTACCGCACGGAGGAACACCACGCGCGGATCGTCCGCGGCCTCGGCCGGAACGATGAGTACGCGGCGGTCTCTCCAGACTTCGGCGGCTGCATCGAACAGCTCAGCCTCAACAGCGGGGACTTGGAGGGCATCTGTTTCCCCGCCTCGCTCGATGCGCGGCCGCCCGCCGTGCCCGACCCAGGCAGCGTGCTCAACCTTTTCGCCGAGCTCAGGGCAGTGGAGGTGAGCGCGCTGCTCGACGAGGCGAGCCAGGTGTGCAATTTCGAGCGGCCCATCGTGGCCTGCCTCGTTTGGGGGAGGCGGCCCGCGCGCCTGGAGGCGCAGCGGCCGTGGCGGCGTCTGTCCTGGCAGTGGCCTCCGCTTTTGGGGTCGCTCGGTTGGCCCTCGCAGGCGGCGCGCGGGTGCTCGCGGAGCCGCTCGTGGGGCACGGCGGGGGGACGGAGTTCGCGTGGCCTGTTGGGGCCTCAGTGACGGGGAGCCGTGCCCTTGCCCCGATCGATGGCAGCGTCGCTAGCATGGAGGTGCTCGCGGGGGGTGGAACGGCGGACATCGCACGGTGGTCGCTCGAGCGGCGCAACGGCCTCTGCGATGACCCGCGCATTTTGCTTCGGATGTCCATGGAGCGTGCGCTTGTTGAGTCGGTCAGCCTGACGACGGCGTGTTTGCGGCAGGACGAGGGTTTGACCCTTGTCGCCGCTCTAGGGCCCAGCCGCGGGCGCCGAGCAGGTGGGGTCCGCCATCACCGACTTCGCGACGAACCTCGTCGCCTGTTCGGACAACTGGGGGCGCGAGAGCGGGGTCAGAACTCACAGCTCGGCGGCCCATGACCACTCGATCCTGCAACGGGCGGCCCACCTGCTCGCCGGGATGGACGGGCCCAACGTGCAGAACCTCGTCGGGGCCGAGCTCCTGCCCCGCCGCACCACGCTGCGCGAGGAGGCGGTGGCCGAGGAACCCGATGCCCCGAGCCACGAGAGGTCCGACCACTTCCACGGCATCAGCGCGAGAGCGGGCGGCGCACGCGGCACCGCCCCCCCGCGCGCGCGGGGCTTCGGAGCTCGCCCGGGAGGCGGCGACCCTCAAAGTGGAAGCGGAAGGCGCGGGAGGCCAGGGCAGCAGTGGGCGGCCGCGAAGGCCAAGGCGCAGCCCTCGGCCTCCGCCACGAGACAATGATGGGGGATGGTGATCGTTTTTGTTCTGGACTCATCGACGGCGAGAGGTTTCACGTGATCGGCGCGGTCCGGGTCTGTTTCCTATCCCCGACGCCCCGGGGCGCCCTGGCTGCGGCAGCGGGAGGGAGGCTCGGCTACATCGGGGGCGGTGGGGCGGCGCCCAGTGGCCGGCGCAGGAGGCGGCCGACGGGCGCAACCTGCTCTTCGGGCGCGAGCCTGGCGAGCCCTCGGCCTCGAGGCTGCGCGAGCGGACGGCGGCCGCAGATGGCCGCGTCCCAGCGCGCCAGGCGATTCGCCAACATCTGTGTTCGGTTGTCCCTTCGGGGGTGCCCGACCGCGCACAGAGTGACCACGCCTCTCCCCGTGAGTTTGCCGGCGTCGACGCTGGCCGCGAGATGCGCGCGCGCAGTTGAGCCCGATGATTCGACGAGGATTTCTCCGCCGGAGGGCCAGGTGGCCCCCGTCGTTGTTGACCAGCGTCGCTCCTTGCAGCCTCGCGCGCAGTTCCCATCATGACACTGCCATGGCCGACGCGGACGCTGCCGAGATCCGCCTCCGCTGCGAAGCCGTGGGCGCGCGCGCCGGTGTCCGAACTGCGAGGGGCGATCGCCCTCAGCACGCATACCTCAAACAGTTCGCACGACTGCGGAATCCCAGGTATCTGCCGAACCCCCGGCGGCAAGATCGCACCGTCCTTCGTGGAAGAGACAAGCGCTCGTCAAAGGCCCGTCCCGGACTGTCGCGCCGTCAACCGCACGTCGCGCCATCCTCTCGACTAGACGCAAGAGTGACCTTTCGCCGGAGTGACCTGCACAGATGGGCCCCCAGGTGGCTGGAAACGAAGCAGGAACAGCGGCTTGCGCGCCCAGGTTTGCCCCCCCCCCCCCCCCCGCGGCCCCCCAAAAGCCGCGCGCCCAAGGTCAGTCTTACCCAGGGTCACTCTTGCGCGTAGTCGGTCCTCCTTCATCTGAGGCGAGTTCGGCCGAGAATGCGCGCGGGCTCGAGGCGCCCGGCGAAGGGCCGCCCGCCTACGTCGCGGCGGGCGGCATCCAGACCTGCTCTTGCCAGCGCGGGGCGTCTGCCGCGCGCGGCGAGCGCGTGAGCTTCGGGGCCGCGGGAGTAGACTTCGTATGAGGCGAGTTCGGCGGAGAACGCGCGCGGGCTCGAGGCGCCCGGCGAAGGGCCCCCCGCCTACGTCGCGACGGGTGGCACCCTCCTGCCGATGGACGGGGGGGCGCCCCCCTGCGCGCTTGCCCCGCCCCGACGGGCTTCAGCGCGTCACCCCGCAACGCCCAGGCTCCGCGCTTCGAGCTGCTCGGGGAAGCTGGGTTCAGCGAGGACATCATCACGTCCAACGCTGACGGCATGCCCCCCCCCCCCCCCCCCCCCCTACCACCACCCCACGCCCCCCCCCCCCCCCCCCCCCCCACACACTGTCGGATGGCCCCGTCGCCATGGCCAAACGCGACAGCCCCGCGGTCCTCGGGGCGCGGCGGGGCGCCCCGTCGGAGCTCGCCTGGCGCGAGAGCTAGCCGGCTCCCCCGAGACACTCTCGGAGGGGCCCCGTGGGGGCACCCTCGGAGGCGCCCGAGGGCAGGAAGGCACGGGCTCGAGGAGCGGGTCGGCAAGGAGGCGGACAGGGCGGTTAGCGAGAAGTTGCGTCTGGAGGCCCAGGGCCCTCGCCAGCATCACCAAAGGCACCTCCCTCCCGTGGGCACTTTCGGAGTTGCCCCTTGCTTCTCGATTCTCGAGAGGGCCCGCGGCCTCTTCTGGCCACCCTCGGCTCGTCCGCCGCCCGGCACCCATCGCCGTCGCGACGGGCTCATGGGCGGCGCCCCCGCGGCTGCCGAGCAAATTCAATCCTGCCGACGCCCCCTCGCGTCTGTCCAAGAAGCCATGCGAGGACAGGCCCCCGCCGCATGGAACGTCGACGGCCGGCACAGGGGAGCGCGGCCCGCCAAGCAGCCGCCGCGCCGTCGATTGCCTCCGCAGCCGTTGGCCCCCCACCGGCGGGCGCCCCGAGGGCGACGGCGCGGTCTGCACCCTGCACCCCGCGGAGCTCGCGGAGGAGGTTGGGCTGGCGTGCGCCGCGGGCCGGCTTCGGCCCATCTCCTGCCGCGCCGCGGCTGGCACCGCGTCTTGGTCGCCGAGCCCTGGGCGGCGAGCTCAGCGCCTGCGAGCTCGCGACGGTCGTTGCCAAGTGGCCCGCAGCCATCCGCGCACTTCAAGAGCCTGCTCCGAGAACGGCCGCGGCAGCAGGGCCAGGCCGCCGAGGGCGACGACTCGCTGGAGGTTGACCTGCCCGACTGCCTATAGACAAGATGGAGGCAGACCGCGCCGAGCTCGCGCGGTCCGAGAAGACGGGGCGCGGCCGGCCCGGCACCTCGCGGCCCGGAGAGGTCCGCGGTCTCCCTCGGCTGCAGCGGGCCCTCAAGGGGCGCAGAAAGCGGGCCCCGCCAGTCCGCCGGATGCCGCTCCCCATCGAGGTCGAGTCCGAAATTTGCGCCCCCTCTGACCGTCGACGGGGAGCGGCGCCTTGCCCTGTACGTTGAGGCGGTCTCTGCGGGCTCGTGTCGCCCAGGAGAGTTGCTTCGCGCAAGAGTGGGCGACCTGGCCAGGCCAGGTGCGTCGCCAGATGCGGCCTTGCGTCGGTGGCCCTTGACCGTGGCACCAGGAGAGAGGGTCCAGCCGTCCAAAACCTAAACCCTCGATGACGCCGTGATCTTCGACTGCCCCAAGTGGCTCGGTGAGGCCCTGGGCTCCCGCAGGGGCTGCAGGCGCCTCGGACGAGCGACTTCTGTTTCACCCTGAGGCGGCGCGCGTGGCCCGCCTCAGCAAGGCCGCAGCGGCCAAGCTCGGCGTGTCGAAGCTCCCTCGACCAACCGCGACACGGTGGCGCATGTGATGATATTTCGAGGCGGCGCCGCAGTGCATCGGGTCAAAGCTAAGGGCGTTGATGCTGCCAAACGCTTAACGAGGCCTGGTTGGGCCCAACAAACTTTCAATCTACTGTCTCCCGCGAGCCGTCAGCATGGCGAAAGGGCTCACAGTCACATCGACGGCCTTTTCTGTGGCGCCGTTTGGCCGCGACCTCCGTGACAGCCCTGTGCCTGTGAATTGTCGTTTCCATCCGCTCCCCTACAACCGCACTTGAGCATCCCTATTGCGGATCTTGATATGGGAGTTTGCTTATGTGTTCTCTCTACGCCGGTGCGTGCGTTACGTTTCGACGCACACTTTCTTGTGGATTGAGCTGCCGCTGCTTGCTGCACTTGTGCCTGAGCAAGACGTGTCTCATTCCAGCTCGTCGCCGACGCACCCGCCATACGCCCCTGTAGGAATCATTCTTATGCGCGCTGACTGCAGGTGGGGTGGATGCGGCCGGGAACTTTGGGTTAGCTCGTCGCTCCGCCGCTTCTGACCTGCCACGCCTCGGTGCGACACGCTATCCCCCAGGCGTCAACGTCCCGATGTTCTCTCTGCTTCCCGCCCCGCGGGGCGGGAAGCAACACGCGATCCGCTCGCAAGGGTATCGCTGGGCCGCCGGGGCGACAAGCTATCCAACATATCCCGGCCGTATCATGGCCAGGGCTATGGCCGTTTTGCATCTTACGCGCAATCGAACACATACTCGTTTCACTTTGAATTGCAATCCCGGTCACATGACATGAAGTAAGCAAATAGGTCATACCGTTACAACAAATGTTATGGTATCTCCCCTCTGTTTCTTTGAATGGTCTCCCTGGCCCCCCATCCCTCGTCCGCGCCCATGCCTCTGGCCGTGGCTCGCTTCCCCCCGCCACCCCTCGTGAATGCTCCCCCTCATTGGACGCCCCCGGCAAGACGGGGGTAAGACTTGAGGCGTGCAGATACTTGGAGCCCCCACACCAGGTGGTGAGATCCCAGGTGTCGACCTGGAATCCCCAAAAAGCCACCGCCGGGTTTTGCAACGCGGGGTCACCGCCGGTCTCCGTGGCTCCTGGACCCACCAGCGTTCGGGACACCCTCGCAAAAACCGCACGAGTCCCCAAACCGGGTGGTGACACCAAATCGGCCCACTCCTCCTCCTCCTCCTCCTCCTCCTCCTCCTCCTCCTCCTCCTCCTCCTCCTCCTCCTCCTCCTCCTCCTCCTCCTCCTCCTCCTCCTCCTCCTCCTCCTCCTCCTCCTCCTCCTCCTCCTCCTCCCGCCCTCGTCCTGGCCCTCTGCGTCCATTCCTCGTCCCTTCCCTCCTCATCGTCCCTTCCCCCTCGTCCCTTCCCTGCTCGTCCCTTCCCTCGTCGTCCCTTCCCTCCTCCTCCTCTCTCCCCTCCTCTCTCGTCTTCTTCCTTCGGCTGCTGAGCGGAGGAAGGAGAAAAAGAGGAGTGGCAGCCCAGGTGCGTGCGCGCCATGTCTGACGTCCTACCCCTCCCTCCCATCCCCTGCCACAGTCGGGGCCCTGAAGAAGGAACCCTTTTTGTTGGGGAGGGGCTCCGCGTTCCTTAGTTGCTTCACAGTGTTCCTTGGGTTTTCCTGAGCTCTTCCATGAAAAATCGGAGTTGAATATATGGGAAAAAGGGGCCTCGTTCCTTATTTATCGTTCCTTAGGTCAGCGCCCCGACTGTATGCTACTGGTTGCTCTCCATCCGTGGACGTGCCTCATATCGGACCTGGAACTCCAGGAAAGACCCCTATCGTGCTTTGCGTAATGAGAAAATTGGAGTTCCGTGCATGGGAGGAGGGGGGAGAGGAGGAGGCGGCGGATGAAGCCGGAGGAACAGGAGGACGCAGGACGCAGCATAGAACGTGCAAGCAACGAGTCGCAAACACGCCAGGGCAAGAAACGTACGTGGACGCAC